CGTTGACAGGAACCATCTGCAGCGTCAACGGGCGCTCCCAATGTCAACGGGAGTAATCTGCGTCGATAAAGGCCTGCAGAATTGACAAAAGCCCGCAGCATCGACAGGAGCTCCATAGCCCCTTCACGGCAACCATGGAAAAGCATGAGAATTGGCAATGCGGCAGCGGCCTTCATCGAGTGACAAAAGAAAGGCAAATCTCATGTGGCTGTTTAAAAGATTGGCCGATCTTGTCGAAATCCATCCTCAACTCCGTTGCTCTCATAGCTGGTCCTGTGACAAAAACCGGGCTACCTCCCTGTGTTTACTGTCAGCCACCGATCTTCTCCTGGGTATTTCTCATATGTTATTCTTACTCTCAATGATGAAACGCCAGGGCATGATATGGAACCACTCCAAATTCATCATCCTCTGCAAACAAAAATGAGAACCATGCATAAGCTTGAGAAGGATGCCTAGGAAAGAGGTGCCGGGGATACTGGTATGAGTGCGGAAATTGGGCAACCGCACTAATTAAGGGTCGTGGCTCGGAGGAGGAGGAGGAGGAGGAGGAGGAGGAGGAGGAGGAGGAGGGATCTGGTGAGTTTGACTTGGGAATTGGTTTGCTTGGTTGAATGAGGATCGTCCCCAAAGAGTGTCACTCAAGAGAAGGGCGAGAGGAGGGGAGGAGGTTGGATGTGCGAATCGAACTTCTGATCTCGGATTCGGACATACTGTTCATTCATGACTGGCCCAACTGAACGCAAATTCAATCTTATTCACCCAAAACAAACCAACCCAATCGAAACTATCAACTCTCTCTTCACTCCCAACTACTAAACCTTTACTCGCAAGCATCAAACCCGAATACCACCACTATCAAATCTCTCTTCACTCGCAAACATGACATTGAGTCACAAGCATCAAATCTTAATACCGCAACTACCAAACCTTCACTCGCAAGCTTCAAATCCTAATACCACCGCTATCAAATCCTCATCACTCGCAAGTCTTCAGTACCATAGGTATTACTACTATTCAAGCTTTCATAGTTTCGTCGCTAAATCTCTTCACAGGTACAAAATCCTAATACCGCAACTATCAAATCTCTCTTCAATCGCAAATATCAAATCCCAATACCACAACTACAAAACCTTCACTCTCAAGCATCAAATCCTAATACCGCAACTACCAAACCTTCACTCGCAAGCTTCAAATCCTAATACCACCGCTATCAAATCCTCATCACTCGCAAGTCTTCAGTACCATAGGTATTACTACTATTCAAGCTTTCATAGTTTCGTCGCTAAATCTCTTCACAGGTACAAAATCCTAATACCGCAACTATCAAATCTCTCTTCAATCGCAAATATCAAATCCCAATACCACAACTACAAAACCTTCACTCTCAAGCATCAAATCCTAATACCGCAACTACAAAACCTTCACTCGCAAGCTTCAAATCCTAATACCACCGCTATCAAATCCTCATCACTCGCAAGTCTTCAGTACCATAGGTATCACTGCTATTCAAGCTTTCATAGTTTCGTCGCTAAATCTCTTCGCAGGTACAAAATCTTAATACTTTTACTATCAAATCCTCTTCGCTCGCAAGCATCAAATCTCAATACCTTAAATACCAAACCTTCACTCACAAGCATCAAACCCTAATACCATCACTATCAAATCGTCATCACTCGCAAGCATTCAGTACCATAGGTATCACTACTATTCAAGCTTTCACAGTTTCGTCGCTAAATCTCTTCGCAGGTATCAAATCTTAATACCGCAACTACCAATTCCTCTCCATTCACAAGCATTCCCAGAATCTCAAATCAATATATATGGGATTCAAAACGAGTCTTAACTCGACCAATCTTTTACATCTACTTCCTTGGGGGCCTTTTTGCCAGGGACCGACCTTTTACATCCAAGCATGGAGAGGCAAGCTGTGGCTTAACTCGCTCCGGTACCAACTTGGTTACCAATTTCAAGTTACCCCCCCTTATCAACCCTTCGGACTTCAGAGAACGGATGACCATGCCCAATTCTTTGGTTGAGATGGAGGTATTCACTACTACTGCTCCCTTTAAAATCCGCGGCTTGATCGCCAGCTCAACTGCGCATACTTCGCTGTATCTCAAATCTGAAACACCGGCTTCGAATTTTTTTCCTCATAAAGCTGATCGAAAGGATGCCGACTACACTGTTGGTTCAAAGACATCTCATAAGGCCGACCCTACCGGGGATGGCGACCCCGCTGCATCTTGCATCTCCCAACAATTCCGAGCATGTCTCGCGGGGAACAGTTGGCTCCTAATGATTCTTGGCATCCAAATCCACATGCTTGTTGGCAGCCGCCTGGGAAAAGAAGGTGCGAATGCAAGTCCACATTCTGCCCGCATTGATTCCAGAGTCAAATTCACCAGATCGAGCCATACCATTCCTACTCACCGGATGGCGGGAGGCGGCAGCCCATGCATCTTCTCTACTGGGAGCCTGGGAGGGAAATGAGAGATAAAAGAGCGAGAGGTACATTGCAGAGGGAAGGGGACACTCATCATCGGGAACAGGCTCTTGGACGCCATCCCCGCATAGCAGCATGTATTTTATAGCGAGCTACATCGGGTCAATGGAATCATCATCATCGTCACCACAATGATGTCCAGAATGCCAAATTGCTACTATTTTTATTGTATTTGCAGAGCCGCTGCTAGTGCTCCAGGTTTCTCGTGACGCCGTTAATATGTTGCGCGAACTGCTAATGTAAAACAACCGACTTCGGCGATTGAGTTTGATCTATTTTTAAGGGGAAAATTGAGGAAACAGGTAGCCCGAGGGCACCTTTGATAATATGATTTAAAGTAAAAAAAAAAAACAAACAAAAAAAGGTCCGTCGTCGTATCAATTAATTTTTTTTTTTTTTTTTTTTTTTTTTTTTTTTTTTTTTTTTTTTTTTTTTTTTTTTTTTTTTTTTTTTTTTTTTTTTTTTTTTTTTTTTTTTTTTTTTTTTTTTTTTTTTTTTTTTTTTTTTTTTTTTTTTTTTTTTTTTTTTTTTTTTTTTTTTTTTTTTTTTTTTTTTTTTTTTTTTTTTTTTTTTTTTTTTTTTTTTTTTTTTTTTTTTTTTTTTTTTTTTTTTTTTTTTTTTTTTTTTTTTTTTTTTTTTTTTTTTTTTTTTTTTTTTTTTTTTTTTTTTTTTTTTTTTTTTTTTTTTTTTTTTTTTTTTTTTTTTTTTTTTTTTTTTTTTTTTTTTTTTTTTTTTTTTTTTTTTTTTTTTTTTTTTTTTTTTTTTTTTTTTTTTTTTTTTTTTTTTTTTTTTTTTTTTTTTTTTTTTTTTTTTTTTTTTTTTTTTTTTTTACCGTGGTGACTGCACCGGAGACGGCGAAGCCGGCAACGGCACCCCAAGGTAGCTGGGGGAAGGTGGGAGAGGCGGCATTTCAACATCGCTGTCAGGAGACAACGATGTAGCGGGCCCGGGGTTGTTGGCGGCGGGGGTGGTGCTGGCGGCGGCGGTGGTGGTGGTGCTGGCGGGCGGGCCCTCACGGGCGCTGTTCGTGCCGGAGCGAGCCAGCCCACGGCTCGCCTCCTCCTGAGGAGGGGCTTGACGAGTGGCCCACCGTGACATACCGAGTCCACGGTGGGGGGGGGCCTGAGGGGGTGTTGAGGGGCAGGCCCCGTTGGATCAAGTCGGCCGCGCGGGAATCATGTCGGCCGGAGGTCCGGGAAGATTGTCCACCGGACCATTGTTGGTAGCCCCGGGGTTCTTGTCGACGGGGCGGGCGGGAGGTCGCAACCCGGGAGTGATCTCGACCGGGAGCCTGTTGATGGTAGGGGGGGGCGCGGCGGGAGTCTTCTTCACGGCGGCGGCGGGGGGGGGATCGCTCGCGGGGGGAGCTTGTCGCTCCCGCGGAGATTCGGAGCGGCGATCCAAATCGAACGCCGTCTTTAACCCCTCGGCCATGAACTTGACATAGTCATGGCGGCGCTGCTCTTCTTTTCCCTGCTATTCATTCAGTTAGCATGCTCAAAATATAACGAACAAGAACTTATCGATCAGGGCTGCCTTAAAAGGAATTGATGTAAGGGTACGATAAAAATGAATCGATCAGACACAACAAGGAGATCAGAGTTGGTCAGACAAGTTGATCAGACACAACAAGGAGATCAGAGTTGGTCAGACACAACAAGGAGATCAGAGTTGATCAGACACAACAGGGATCGATCAGAGTTGATCAGACATGATGAAAATTGATGGGGGTTGATGGGAATCAATCAGACAAAGACGAGACGGGATGAAGCCCATCGCGAGGTGGATGGTCCATGTCATCATTGGATGCAATACGAGACAGATGAGGTAGAGCTATAGAAGATTTTGACTTACAGCTTCATCTCTCTTTCTTTCACCCTTTTCTTTACGGTCCCTTGCGAGGCGGGACGACATTGTGGTGGTTGCTCAGAGAGAGAGAAGAGAGAGAGAGAGAGGAGAGAGAGAGAGGAGAGAGAGAGAGGAGAGAGAGAGGAGAGGAGAGAGAGACAGGGAAAGCATTTTCATCCAGGGTCACATGCCCAGCTCACTACATCTCAGTTTCGATTTACTTCCTTTGGCCTAATCCCTTACGCCATTGTTATTGAGCTCTCAAACTATTGTTCAAGCTATTAACCAAGTTATTGTTCCATCCAGTATTGTTCAAGCATTCAAACTATTATCCAAGATATTGAAGCCATTCTCCTCAAGCCATTCCCCCATTGAAGTAATATCCTGTGATTACCAGATATCTACGGACAGAACATGATCTATAATAATAAAGTCAACCATTGCAATTACATAAAAACAACGAAGATCATGCCGTGTTCATAAAGGGACTTCCTGGAAGAGGACTTATTGTCGGGAGAGGACTACATCGAAGTACATGGTGAATGTGAGATGCATTGAGTGCTTATAGAAGTTAAGTTAGAAGCTATGAATTTGACGACTGAAGTTCCCTTTGAGTTTAGACCTTTGTTTTTGAACAATGGTTCTTGAAACTTGGTTGCTGAAAAGGTTGTTGTAATGTAGCATGCCGGTGACGGTATCAGCTGTAGTGGGAGCAGGATCGTTGATATCTGGGAGGTTGACCGCGTTAGCTAATTTGGCATTAGTGTTAGCGGGGCTGAGATGCCATTTCCCTATAGTGTACACTTTTTTACGCTGGTATAAAGTGTAGAATTGCTTCGAATTGGCGGAGGCGTTGCTGGAATTGTTGTTGTAAGTCAATACTCTAGATCTGTTGGGCGTCCCTTAAAGCAAACGCAAAAGCACGACTATACTAAGACTCCTATGACGACTGAAAGCTTCATATCAGTCACTTCTCTCCGGATAAGGCTATTATTCACTTTCTTCAAAATGAGTAACAAGCCAGTTAAAATGAGCAAGGAGGTACTGAGCACTCTACAACAGCGTAAGATTTTTTTAGGGACTGACATCCACTGTCTAACACTTTATTACGTATAAAGAAGGCTTCCACTATTTCATAGTCCACTTATTAAAATTCGAATTCAAACATTTGTGAATGTACAATTTCTAAAGGGCTACCCTACGTAGAGTCTCTAGTCTTCCTAGCGATATTTAAAGTCTACTTTCCGAGACGTATAAAAGTAGAAACTAGAACTAGAAGATAGAAAGCGTTATCTCGAAGTGGAGTCTTAAAGGACTCCTCTAATGGCTATACTGTCAGATTTCATAGTATAGAACTTAGCTTCTACAACTCTCTACCCAATGCTATCTCAGATTCAACCATGCACTTCGACATAGTCCTCTCTAGACAGGCTATGAGCCCCTGAAAGCTCTATTCGACCTTCTCATCATCGTGAGCTTCATCATTAGCCTCTCCATCGAAGCTATCGTCATCCTCGGCATCACCGTCGTTACTAGTGCTATGCTACACAGCGCGCTAACCGGCCGGGCCTCACACGCCTAACGCAGGTTGCAACACTAGCAAACGGTCCCAACGTACCCCTCTCCTTCGACAGTTACTATACCTTTATCATATTTTCAACAACTAGCTTCGCAGAGCCAAAGCTCTTATAGCTCGTTCCCACTCTTATAGGCGAATATAACTTTACCTTGTGGTCTACCGTACTTGTTGACAAGTCTTGCGAGCTCAAGGGCGGTTGAAATGATGTATTCCTCTTTCAGCCAATCTGTGTTGATGTTACGGCCGTTTCCAGCCGTCGGGGACGTAGAGATATGGTAGGAAAGAAGGAAAATGGAAAGAGGAAGAGATATGGGAGGCCTTTTATAGTTAGTATCTAGATGGGTGTACGTCCTAAGCCCTAATTAGCCCTTGTCGCGGCAGGATCTAGGTTGGCAAGAATAATATCCTTTATAATCTGGGATATATGAGCTTCAATTGTGGTAGCCAGTATTTGTCGCTAAGTCTTACGAGCTCGATAGGTATCGAGAGCGTACTTAAATACGGGATTACTAGGATTGAAGCTCAGATAGCATAAATTATCAAGGATGCCATTATTGCTAATCCAGATCCTACCGCGACGGAAAGACTTACGCCTATCGACAGTAACACCTATTGGCTGAATGATACAGATATTGTTTCGGCAAGTTTCTTACGTAACGGATACCGATATCTATCTAAAAGTAAATATTTTCCTTTCTCTCTCCTACGTAACTACTTTATCTAAGTTTGCTAAAGAGCGTAGAAACGGAAAATAGGTTAACCTAGAGAGGTACTAAGTAGGTAATGTAGAATAAGATAGCTAAGAGGCCAAAGATTAAATCCTAGCAACCAATAGACGGCCTAACAAACCATTTCCCCTAGTTATACATGCACAAAGTATGCCTTTTTAGCACCTTCACATACATCTAAAAAGACCAGCTCAAAAAGCATCACAAGGCCATAAACGCGGCGGAATATTCTTGCATACTTTTAGTAAAAAAAAAGGTTCTACCCGGGTTCGAATCGGGGTTCGTGGTAGATTAAGTCCGATGCTGGGCCGATATAGGCATCTATAGTTATCAAGTACTAGAACCTATGATTTACTATAAAGCCATTCTAGAGCAGATTTATATCTATCTGTTAAGGGTTTCCAAGAATAAGAGGCCTATCAATATAAGCTTCTTTCTACATATAAACCAGGCAGTTTTATAATTTCATTTCTAGTACTATAATATCATCTTACAGAATTCTTCTATTCTATGCAGTTTAGTTCTGTTAGATTTCATAGTCTAGAACTCACCTAGCTTTATCAACTCTCCAATCCATATCTCCAATCCCATCACGCACTTCGATGCAGTCTTCTATTACCATATTATAAGCCTTCAGAAGCTCTATTCAATTTTTCTCTCTACGCTCCACAAGCCTCTCTATTCAAAGATATTGCCATCCTCTAAGCAACTATCTCTATTCGAATCGTCAAGCCACTCCTAAGTAGGAGGCGGGCCATGGGCTAGCTTGCTCCGGTAACAGCCCCCGTTTGATTTTCACGCCTGTCATTATCTACCGTGACTGCACCGATCATTTGTTGCAGTTGACAAGGCAGTGATGAGAACGGAGTAATTTTGCCTCAAACTCCCGGAAGACGGCCCCAAAATAGCTGTGAATACACAATTTCCAAAGGGCTACTCTACGCAGAGTCGCCAGTCTTCACAGCCATACTTGAAGCCCATTTTCGAGAGACCTAAGAGCAGATAGTAGGCTTAGAACGAATGGAAGACGTTGTCTCTAAGAGGAGTCTTGAAGTACTCTTTCAATGGCTATATCTTAGGTTGTCAAATCCGATCCATCCCCTACGGCATCCCGGCTGCTATTAATAGGATGTTCGTCTTCTTCTCTCGGGGAACTTGTGACTCAGAATGCGAGGGCCAACAGTAGATCATGGTCAGACCTTTAAAGGGGCATTTCTACATCTACAAATCTCATCCTCGATTATCATCCTCACATCCACCGTCGATCGACCATCGATTGATTCATTTCCAATCATCCACATCGACTTCACAACTACATCCACACTCCACCACCCATTATGTCCAGCACCCTGCAGCTCGACAGGACCCTAACCACCCTCTGGGTCTGCCAATCTATGAATGCTGGTTCTGTCCGAGTAACTGGATCGGGTTCTTAAGCCTGCTGTTCCATCTTGAAGAAGGCCGCTGTGTTGCGTAAGTAAGGTATTATACACTCGGAAATGGTGTCCACTGTTTAACACTTCATTATCTAGGAGACTCCCACTATTTCAAAGTCCCTTCGTTCAAATTCGAATCCAAAACGGCCTTGAATACACAATTTTAAAAGGGCTGCTATGCGTAGAGTCGCCAGTCAAGATGGCCCCCGGATATTCGCTCTAAATTCACACTGGCTTTGCTTTACTTTGCCAAAGTCTCTGTGGCTATCGAATGTGCAAAAAAGGAAGACTCAGTAAAGAACCGAAGACACAGCCAAAAGGATACTAAACGCATCATGAGGATGTCTTGAAGATGGACATCAAACGAACGTCTTCATGTCCACAAATCCATCCTCCACACTTCTTCTTTATTCCAGATGGCTATGTCTGGAACATGGACGGAACCCATAGAGCACACTGTTACTCTCCCGGAAGATAACCCTAGATATTTGCCTTGTATTCATACTGGCTTTACTTTGGCGAAATCCTTATCATCGTCGAAGATACAAAAAAAGAAGACCGGATTAATCTGAACAGGTAATAAAAGGACCTCTTTAAATTAAACTATTTTTTTCCTCTACGCTCTTTAACGAACCTAAATATAGTGGATACGCAGGAGAGAGAAAAAAAAACATTTAATTTTAGATAGATATCGGTGTCTATTGCGTAAGGAATTTGCTGAAATGACTTTATCTTTCCGCCGCGGCGGAATTTGAATTAGCAAGAATGGCATCCTTTATAATCTTTGCTATCTGGGATTCGATCCTCGTCATCCCGTATTTGTCGGCGAGCCTTATGAGCTTGATGGCAGCGGAAATATGCTCTCCGGGGTTTTTGTAAAGGTATACTGGTTTTAGGTGTAAGGAACTGGGTAAGATACCATGGCGGAGAGAACTCACAGTGTATTTGTCAAGGAAGGACTATGTCCAAGATGGTGGAATGTGAGATGCATTGAGAGATGAGAGGAGCGCTACTTCTTCTCTAGTTGTGAGACGTCTATGCTACCGCGAAGCATCACGATCGAGCTCATCATCGTCGTTGTGGTTATGCTTCATGTCTCGGTTGGTGGTTGACGTAGAAAGTCTCTTTCAAGGGTCCAAGCACATATGCCTTGAGGGGAGCACAGTACTCCTCAGCGCGGTTCTTTGCTAGGTCTTCCTTTTTTGCACTTTCGACAATAACAGGGATTTTGGCAAAGTAAAGCCAGTGTGAGTACAGAGCGAATATCTGAGGGTCATCTTCCGGGAGAGTAACAGCGTGCTCCGATTCCGTCACTGGTCCAGACATAGCCTCCTAGAAAGACAAATAAGAAGTGCGGAGGATGAATTCGTGAATATGAAATTGTTCTTTTGATATCCATGTTCAAGACATCCTCCATGGTGCGTTTTGTGTCTTTTCGTTGCCTCTTCGGGTCAATCCGAGTTTTCCTCCATTTCTGAGTTTTTCGTTATAAGATACCCTGAGCATTCGAGGCTCCCAAGATCTTTGTGTCTCGTTGATGGCATGAATTGACGTGCTCCTTGGATTCTTTCCACGATCCCGACGTAGCCTTATTAAAAGAGAATAAAGAGACATAGGTAGTTGATTCATAGACATAGAAAGGCCCCTTCAAGGGTCCGACCATGATTGCCGCTGTTGGTCCTTGAATTCCGAGTCAAAAATTCCCTGAGAGAAGATGAACATCCCGTCGATGGCAGTCGGGATTCTGTAGGAGGTGGATCGGATTTTACAAACCCAAGGTATATCCATTGGAGGAGTGCTTCAAGACTCCGCTGAGAGGCGACGCCGCCTATTTCTTCTAGGTTTACTGTCTGCTCTTGTGCCTCTTGAAGATGGCCTTCAAGGATGGCTGCGAAAACTGAAGATCGAACCATCCTTAAGATATGCCTTATAATATGTTTGATGAAGGGCTAGGAAGAAAAAATTAGCGGAAATCTTTTATTGACCAAAGAGGAGAGGAAAAAAAGTGCGAAGTTAAAAAGGAGACCCTGGGTTCCAGAACGGAAGGTACTACATAAATGAAGGGAACGACATAGCTCCGACTGATTTTATATAAGATATCATAGGCATTTGAGGTTCCTCGTGTCTTGTCGATCATATGAATTGACCCTGTGGGTGTGGTTTGTGGAACCAGAGGGAGCCTTGAACATTCGCTCGGAAGATCGTTCTTGGTAAAGCTGAAGTGAGGTGGTGCACAAGGCTCTCACCTGTGATATCGCATGAAAAGGTTTGAAAGGTTGTGCAATTGAAGGACTAAGCACCAAGCTGAGACTTTTGAGATGAATGAGGATAGACGATGGTTGGTGGGAGGAAGGTTGGTGGGAGGAAGGTTGGTGGGAGGAAGATTGGTGGGAGGAAGATTGGTGGGAGGCGATGGATAGTGAGAGAAAAAAGATAGAGAGGAGAGATAATTGAAAAGAGCAAATAAAGTAGACAATCTGTGTACTATTTAGTGGGATTTAGGGCTGGTTATATATTACCAACAAATACATAGATGCTAACAAACAACTTTAGCTATTAACTTGACCCTTCACTGATTGTAATCCTCAATATTGTTGCTACATAGTTACCTACTATACCTGTTATCTCTAGCTACCCTCTACTTAGAGCTATCTCCAATCTTTCCTTCTCTATTGACTTAATATAACATTTATAGATATTTTGGTGTCTTTGGAATTTCTTCTACTTCTATAAGGCTTTATTATCATAACCGAAACATCCTTAGGATTATCAATGTAACACAGCTATACAAATGTGGTTTATATGATCAATTCACGCTGTCTCTTAGAGCAAGATGTCATGATCTTCTGAATTGTCACGAGTTGCTGGTCAATCCACCGAGGGTTGCATATGATAATCGGATGATTTGATTGGATTTAAAGAAGACGTTCTTTTCTTCATGGGACCTTCAACAACCGAATAGAGAAATTCCGGTGGAAGTTTTCTGGTGAGCTATTTGGGCCCCCTAGTGTCCACGTGCATATCCACAAACAGATTGCGGATTTTGGAAGACTCAGTTGTATTTTCGTATATGTAGTTGACAATGTGTCCATGGGGATAGTAATAAAATCCATTTTATACGTCGGGCGTAGAGAATTTTTTAACAATTGCGTCGATGACCGCATTTTGAAACTTTATATCGAGTACCTTGTCACTGAGTACATATGCCTTAACGAGAGCCTAGTACTCCTCGTTGCGGTTCTTTCCTGAGTCTTCCTTTTCTATATATTTAATAATCACAGGGATTTTAGCAAAGTAAAGCCAGTGTAAGTAGAGAGTGAATATCTGAGGGTTATCTTCTAGGAGTAAGACAGTACCCTCTATAGATTCCGTCTATAGCCCGGATATAGCCCTCTGGAAAAACAGAGAAGAAGCTCGGAGGATAGATTCGTGGATATGAAAAATTTCTTTTGATCCTCCGACCATGATTGTCGTTATTGGTCCTTATATCCTAAGTCGAATTAGTAACAGCAAAAACCCATTTTTAGTCATGGTACTTACTTCTTGCAGTCGTCTTTCAAGCTCCACACAGAGCTTGGGGCCATTTCGTTTGCGTTACAAGAGATTGAGAGCGCGTCTGAGTTGATTAATGAGACAAACTGGGCGAGGCAGCCCTGCAATAGCTCCGATATTGCTACCATTATGCGTGAAGCTGCAAGGCCTCTGGTAATATCGAGGTGTGAGATGTTTGCTAGGATGTAGATCTTGGGTATCTTTCATTGCGGCTCTAGTGCGGGGTCACTGGAGTAAGCAGTACCATCCAGCTGAAACCCCATTTTTCTTTTGCAAGCCTGAACTCGAAATATCAGATCCGGGCATGGTCACCAGTATTGAGGTTTCAGGGCTCGCTCTCCCGATTCTTCCGCTCTTCGTGAACCAGATCGATGCCTACGTCCGCGGCATGGAGAAGATCAAGGGTCTGTGGCGGTACCGACAGGAGTTTAAAGGCTATTCAGTAGGACTTCGCACACAGCATGCTATTCTACTAAACACGCTAGAAAAAGCCTTGGAAGGTGTCGTGGATGATGAGGATCAAGTTTCTGAGCTCATCTGCGATCCACAGGGTGATGGATGGAAGGATCCGGACTTGCCAAAGCGACGCGCTGGAAGTTGGACCGAAATTACGAAGTATTCATGGGAAACATGGCTGGCCTCTCTGAGTTGCTGGAACAACTATCGCATAAGCTAGATATTGGCGTAACTGATATTTTTGGCTCGTTTAATTAAAACCAGAATAGAGATATTTTCTAGCGTATAATTATCAACCGTTGTGGTGGGGGGCATAACTAGTCCTCACTACATATGAGCCTCGTATGTCCCTTCTTTGTCCTTAAAGTTTTGTTATATAAGCATATATATACATTAAAAGTATCAGATAGTTATACTCTTCCATTAGAAACAAGTTTAGAGAGATTTTATAGCGTATATGTATCAACCATTGTAGTGGGGGGTAGAGTGCGATATTACGGGCGGGTAGGCATTGCCCATGGGCCTTATGTAAGCGGGCAATGGACATTATCGATATGCCCATGGACGGGCACCACCTTATACAGTTTACTTAATAACTAATTTTTATGTATATTTAAGACAACTTTATATAATGGTGGGCATAGTGTGCATGCCCGTGGGCGGTGGGCGTTGTGGGCGGGCACTCGAAAATCCAAATTGCCCACCGCTCACTGTGGATGGGCAATGTCGCAATCTAGTGGGGGGCATGTTAAAGGATTTTTAAAAACAGCAACATATAAACCCCTACGAAGAAATAATTTTCCTTCGACAACGCCATAACGGTGTGACATGGGTCGACTGCTCACCATTGATCCGAGAGAGAGACAGATGGAGAACTATATCCTGAGTGGGAGAGTGCCTAAGGCATCTAAACATTTACATACAACGCAACCATGTGTGTTGGAGTGGGCTCGGTGGTCATGCGATCAAGCCCGCATCTAGCTAGCTGGCCTCAGGTAGACAATAAACCATCTTCCTCCATCCCATCCATAACTTGTACCAATATTTCGTCCATGAGTTAAGCCCTGACTCTATCGAGAAATACCTAGGCACAGAGCACATATGCACATAGTAGTAATTGTTATATTTGGGATATAGTGGTCGCCGTATATATTAAGTGAGTCTACAAGGATGAAATGTGTCTAGAGGTTAGAACATGGACTCCGTACAGATGGTACATATGTATTTCCGAGGTGGATACATATGCATGAAAGGAAAATGCTAATAATAAGTTAACCATTAATAATTAGATACGATTGTGACAATCCTTGATAAAGTTTGGTAATACTCCGTATATAAGCTGAATGTGACGTTCGCAGTGACACGGATCCGCCGATGGCCGAACCATGGATCATCTTATCACAAGGTTGCGAGCTCGGATGATCGTTTTTGGGTATTGTCTTGCCATGCCATCTTGATACGCACCGCTTGTGCATTGGGATTAGCCCTGTATCTATGTTGCTGTAGTGGGTTTGTGACCCATACAATTTGAGCGACAGGAATTTTTAAGAGATGATATTGACTTAGCGTTGAAACTGGTGCTAGGGAAGCTCAGAATGTTATGATTATCTGATATTTCAGGAAATTACGCATATATGGACTGCGCTTTATCACAATGATAGTGAACTTTTGCGTTGAGACTCGGTGCAGTATTGTTTCTCGAAAATGAATCAATTGAGGCGTATGGGGTGAGAGTCGATGGTGTCATATCGTTTGGCAAGGATTCTAAAAATTTGGTTCACTGTATAGTGGACTCTGCGTAGAACTCGTACTGTTTTGCTCCGTCTATATATTAGCTGTTAGGTAGAGCCGAACTCCTAAATTTGCTGAACAACAATCATTAAACACCATATTTGTCTGTCTATGTAATAATAGTTCCTCTATTGCCCGATACGCATCTTCCACGTCCTACTCGCCAGCTCTCAGCTACTACTATACGTCTCCTTCCGCGCCGATCCTTAGCCATGGCCACCACCGTTATCTCTCCCACAGAGGCCGTGCAAAATATGACGCCCAACTACGAGGTCAGGCTCTTGCTCAGCCCAACTGCAGTCCTCAGCTCTAAACATGAGCTTACGGACACTGTCCTATCGAGTTTCAATACAGCCTCGACCACCGCGATAAACGTGCAGTTCCTCGACACGTGCTCTAAGGATATCTATAAAGCCGACTGGAGCGCCCGCATACGTAAGACCGAAAACAAGGACGAATTTGAGCTGACGTATAAGAAGCGGTATGATATCACGGGTAGCGATATTGACGCCGCTCTTACTACGGCCAATAACGATGGCTTCGACGCCGGCGACACGAACTATAAGGCACAAGTCGAATGGGGATACGAGAAGAAGACACTCTCAATCAGCCGCAAGAAAGATATACCATCTACGGATCGCGGAACAGACTTGCCGGGAATAGGCAAATCGCGTAAAATGCTAATTGACGAAGCGCCGGGCAAGTTCGACAACTGGCATCACGACAAATGGGGCACTAAAGCGTTAGCAATGTCACGTATTTTTGGCAATGTCCTCTTCAGGCGCTCTGTTGGCACGTGGAATGGGATAGAGCTTGACCTCGAGGTCTGGCCCATCCTCAACTTGGCGGGTACGGAAGATGAGTACATTGTCGAGGCTTCTTTCAAGACGAAGAGCCGTACGACAGCCCTCGCTGAGCAGAAGAGCTTAGCCGATTACTTGCAGAGCAAGGGCTGGCTTCTAGCCCAGGACTCGCTAAAGACACAGCTCATCATGGAGCGCTACTGATGTGGAAAGTCATCGGGCGCACAGGTGGTTGTTGATCTGGAAGAAAAGAAAAACAAGAATTACCAGGGAGATTATCGGATTTTGGCGCGGTCTTCACCGTGGAAATGGCTCAGACAACAGAGCCCATTCTCCAGCGGAAAAACGCATTCCATCTTTGCAATTAGTGTTCTAAAAGTTTGCCAATATTTTGCCCATTTTTTGCCAATTTACCCCATAGTTTGAAGAGCAGAGTTTTGATATTTACAGATCTGATTCATCATACTAAAACCGCCTGATTTCTAATACATGTCAACGTATTGAAAAATTTCTCCAAACTGAAGGCATTCATCAAGCGAAATTTGCTTCGTTATGATCAAGTCCTAGAATAAGGCTTTGACGATTTCCTCGGGCACCTATACATGGTAGTTACAAGGCCCCAGCAAGGGAAAGGCTTTCTCGTTCTAGACTGCGTGAGCATGCTATATGCCAAGAAGATCTATCCGTGGCTTGGAATACGCCGCTAGAACCGTAGAAAGTGACTCTTGCTATTTCTTTTTACAAACCACACGACCTCCTAGACAAGCTGTTTGCAGCGACATAGATTGCAACAATACGAACAGGGAGGGGTTCGATCCCTTTGGATAAGATTGGTTGGATTGAGCTGCGACTATTTGAAACTCGAAACGGACTAGTTTAAGTGTTGGCTAAAACCGTAATTGATCTCTTACGATAAAATCTCGAAAAGGAATGCCGACTTTAAAAAGTCTAGTACGTACTAATATTTCCTATATTGGGTCGTACTGCTAGTCTGGATTTATTTTACGGTAAGGTCTTGAAAGTCTAGACCGCGTAGAGGATCATAACCTCAAAGCAACTACATACCTAAGCTATAGGTGTTCGACTTGGATCATTTACCTTTATATAAAGGACAGTCGCGATACGAGACGATTCCATCTACGTCAAATATTATTTCAAATCTTAAGGTTATACCATTGCGCCCAGCAAAAGAAATCCCGTCTTTATCAGAACCAAAATGGTTTGCGGCTTTGCAATCTTGTCCCTCTGGTGCCTTCTTTGCGGGCCGACTCTTGGATGGGGAGATGTCGGTCATCGCACTGTTGCATACCTAGCCGAGCAATTTCTCACCGAACAGGGCACAGAGTTTCTTAACAAACTCCTGCCTCAGAACAGGCAGTTCGACATCTCAGATGCGGCTACATGGGCTGATGAAATCAAACTAAAGCGCCCTAAGACTAGAACTTGGCATTATGTTGGTATGTCATAATCCTCCCTAGATGGAATATCGTTAAATATCGTTCAATGTTGATTATCCGTGAAATTATAGACGTGGATGATGATCCTCTGGGGAATATCTGCAAGATATCATCCCTTCCAGAGAAATGCAAAAGCGGGCAAGGCTGCATCATCTCGGCCATAGAAGATATGGTCAGGCTCCCCTTTGTCCGTGGTTGATTTGATTGCAATCTAATTGGCAGTAGACTGTTCAAGCTAATGATAATAGCTTCAACCAAACAGAAGCTGTCATGTTCTTGTTCCACTTCTTTGGGGACCTTCATATGCCCTTGCATGTGGAAGCCTACGAGAGGGGAGGAAACGGAGTTGAGGTCTGTTTTAATGGTCGCCGCGATAATCTGCACAGTATCTGGGACACAGACATGCCACACAAGATCAACGGCATCAAACATACACTCAAGCATAACGATGAAAAACTGGCATCCCTAAAGTGGGCTAAGCATCTCCTTCAACAGAACAAACATAGACCCACGACCGCTGTGGAATGTGCGGATGTGGGCAACCCCCAGACATGTGTCAAGCAGTGGGCGGAAGAGACAAATCGTTTGAACTGTGCTGTTGTTTTCAGGAAGGGACTTCCGTATCTCAAGGGTAATGATCTTGCAGGCGAATACTATAACGAAGCCGTGCCGATCATTGAGGAACAAATCTTTAAAGCAGGTGTTCGTCTGGGGGTCTGGATCAATGCCCTTGCGGAGAAGCATCGCATCAAAACGGCGTTTGTTGTCCAGGAGGATCGGATGAGAGATCTATGAAGCCCATGCGGCCGGATAGTTCTAGGGTGGTCTCACAGCGGGATGGTCCTACGATGGTTCTGCACGATTTGCAAATCAGAGACCAGAGTTATGCTATCAAAAGTGGTTTGTATTTTTGCGTTGTATATTATGAAATTGTATTACAGGTTTCTTTTAATACTTAGTTGCAGAAAGTCTTGGAAGACCGAAGCCTGTTTTGAGTATGGGCATTGTGCACAGATATTATCATCAGACGTCACAGTATGGAGGGAGTCTAAATTTATGGGAAACCACGAGATCATCAGCCGTTAAAATTAAGTTTGCCTACAACCGTATGCGACTAGGGTGTTCTAGACTACCAAATAATGGTTAATGGCATTCAATCAGGGTCTTTCTGTAAGATGATTATGATGCATCTTGTTAATCGCCAAGACCATCATGTTGAGGTTTCTGCGACCCATGTTTTTACAGTGTGGCTTGTTCTATGTTCCCCCGCAAAAATAATTATTGTTCTCCCTTGAAATTAGACACAATAGCTTTACCATGGTACCGGTTGCGAAGGATGTCTTGTTTAAGATTTTAGACTCGATACAAGATCGGCACCACTTAACTAAAACGCGGAATAGCCTTTTGGTTCCGATCATTCAAGAATCAAGGATTAGAAGACGTCTTTAGCTTCCCCGAGCAGTTTGCTTTCGGCAAAATAGGAGCCCTGAAGGATCAATCTAACGGAATCTGAAATATGAAATCATTACGGTAGATTCCAATAGACGTCTAAGAACGCTTTTCGCTTTCATATATACTCATCAAAGCCCTCCAGCTAGCAACAATATTTTGTCTCATTTCCTAATGGCATAATACGCACCTAATACAATTTCAAATTAATTTTCTTTCCCTCTTACCTTTCCCGGATGCTCCAGATACGCTCCATCATGACGCATCAAATGCCCAAGCTAGCAAGCTACAAGCGCATAATCCTTTGCGCCGACGGGACGTGGCTAGCGTCTGACCAAGGTGACAAGTCCGTGCCTTCGAATGTTGCGAAGATTGCTCGAGCAATTGCGACCAGTGGCCCCGATGCCGATGGCAAAATTGTAAAGCAGATTGTGTCGTACCATTCCGGCCTGGGGGCTGGAGCCCTTCCTTTCCAGAAAACCATATCTGGTGAGTACTCAGCTCAAATGAGCCGATGACAATTTATTGAACGAGTGTGGCTTATGTGCTTCCTGCCTCATAGGCGCCATCGGCCGGGGTTTAGACATCGAAGTTTGCAAGATCTATGATTTCATATCCAACAACTATGAGCCCGGGGACGAGTTGTTCTTCCTCGGATTCTCGCGCGGCGCTTTCACGGTGCGCTCAGTCGCTGGCCTGATAGGTGATATCGGTGTCCTCCGTGCAGTGCACATGTCGCACTTTGCAGAGATGTGGAAGGCCTACTGTGAGAATACGGACGGGCAGCCCTTCATAAAGACACCGTGGTATCAGCAGAACAAGGACAAACTGCGCTTGACGGATGATATAAGGATTAAAGTTGTTGGGGTTTGGGACACTGTTGGTGCTCTGGTACGTGACACGAGGGATGATTAATTGATACACACCTATTATGAGTCTGACCTTACATGGCTAGGGAATCCCTGAATGGCCGTTTTTAGGATTCGCCACAAAACTTGGTATCGCAATGAACAAACAGTACGCATTTCACAACACGAAATTATCAAAAAGTGAGTGATCATCGCAAATAGCTTACTATACCGGCGCTAAAAAGCGCTTGCCCATCAGATCTGGACTATGCCTTCCAAGCCCTTGCTATTGACGAGAGACGAAAAACCTATCTTCCTACCCTCTGGCACAAGACCTCTGACGCCCCGGCCAAGGAACTACAACAATGTTGGTTTCCCGGTGTTCATCGTAATATCGGTGGCCAAGCAGAAGATCCACCTACCGCTGGTGACCATGAAGAGATCGGCAACATCACATTTGCGTGGATGGTAAAGCCCGTCTTATCCTCCTAAATGGTGATTCTAGTTAACCCAATGCCCTTCGCAACCTAGGTGGACAATCTCTCCGGCATGCTGACCTTTGAAGAGGCCGCGATCGACGTGCTCCTCGAGCAGCACCAACACGCGCAGGCCGCGAACAACGCCAAAAACAACATCACGGACGGCTGGGGCTGCGGGACTATAGTTTCTAATTTCTCTGGGCTGCGAGGCGCGTTCTTCCGCATTCTTGGCAAGCAAGACCGCACGCCGGGCAACTACCCACAGGGTCCAGATGACGGAAATGATCGCGCCACAGATGAGTATTTCCATCCAATTGTCCGGATACGGAAGAGCAAACTCTCTAATTACAACCCAACGTCGCTTTACGGGTATTCCGCCGAGAAGTCTGATAGTGATGCTGGCTGGATGTGGCACAGAGAGGACAGACAGACAGTGCCGGAGTATGTGATGCGCCCGGAGAAGAAAATGAGTTTGGTGAACGAGGGAGGCTATAAAACTACGAGTAGCTTGTCAAGGTTGATGTGTCCCAAACTCCTTCTGGCAGATATTGATAGGGATAATGGTGTAACACCAGAGTGATCATGGGTCGGGAATGTAGGATCTCCGGTGAATGAACGGCTAATGGACACTTCATTTTGGCGTTTGGATACTGTATTTGTGCACCAGATGCAAATAGTACAAAGGTGTTTTCAGGTCTTGATATCTAAAGCTAGGAATACCGTTTTGTAGTTAGTTAACTAGTTATGCACTCACTAAGCATCCCTAAGCATCACTGAGTAACTACGGAGTACTCCGTACGGCGTACAATAATAATAAATACCTGCAGCTCTCTGGGGCTGCCGTCCCCATTATGCATGTAAATCATTCCTAGTTGTATGTTGTAGGGGCCTTTTCTCTGCTTGCCGCTATCTTACACCATACGCCCTGTGCTGCCCAGCTGTGAGATACTCAGTGAGCAGGACCCTGAGCGCCCTCATAAAGCGGCGGGCACTGCACCTCAATCGGGAAATTCGCAACCGCGGCCTAAATTCCAGTACATACAGCTACATATGTATGGAGTACCTAAAATATTGTAATTGGTATTAAGTAGATAAATAGTAATAAAAACAATAATATCACATAAGCTACCTGCATGTATTTGTGTCCTGTAGAACAAGATCGAAACCTGTGTGTACACGCCCTAGTCCCGATTGGGGAGCTTAGTGAAGAGGCCACCTGGACCTTCCCCCAGTGTTGCCCTTTCTATAAAACCATCTCCTCTTTTCTACATTTTGGTGCTGTGCGCTCCACTTTCATTCTTTCTATTTGTTGTTTACAATATGCGCTTTAACACTGCGTTGACATCGGCTCTGGTCTCCTCCGCTACCCTCATGGGCTACGCCCATGCGGAGGAGGAGACTGCGGATACCACTGTCATTGACAAGCCCGCCTTCACTGTATGCATCTCCACTCCCTCATGATAACTCCTGCTAACTCCTGCAAGCCTACTAGCCTCAAAGCTCCCTTCCTGGAGCAATTCACAGACGACTGGGAGTCTCGGTGGAAGCCTTCCCACGCGAAGAAGGACGACAAGTCTGAGGAGGAGTGGGCTTACGTTGGTGAATGGGCAGTCGAGGAGCCCTCCATCTTCAAGGGTATCGATGGCGACAAGGGTCTGGTCGTGAAGAACGCTGCTGCCCACCACGCCATCTCCGCCAAGTTCCCCAAGAAGATTGACAACAAGGGCAAGACCTTGGTGGTTCAGTACGAGGTCAAGCCGCAGAGTGAGTCGCGACTGTCTACTTTGGTTCGCGTTTTTATGTGCTGACTAGAATTGTCCCTTGCTAGACTCCCTGGTTTGCGGCGGTGCCTACCTCAAGCTTCTCCAGGAGAACAAGAAGCTCCACCAGGAGGAGTTCTCCAACGCCACTCCCTATGTCATCATGTTCGGCCCTGACAAGTGCGGTGCCACTAACAAGGTTCACTTCATCTTCCGCCACAAGAACCCCAAGACCGGCGAATACGAGGAGAAGCACCTCAAGACTCCTCCTGTGGCCCGCACCAACAAGGTCACCTCCCTCTACACCCTGATCGTCAACCCCGATCAGACCTTCGAGATCCTGATCAACGGCGACTCTGCCAAGAAGGGTAGCCTCCTCGAGGACTTCAACCCTCCCGTCAACCCTGAGAAGGAGATTGATGACCCCAAGGACTCTAAGCCCGCCGACTGGGTCGATGAGGTTCAGATCGCCGACCCCGAAGCCACTAAGCCCGCCGACTGGAATGAAGAGGCTCCCTTCGAGATCCTCGATGAGGCGGCTACCCAACCCGAGGACTGGCTGGAGGACGAGGCCGAGAGCATTCCCGATCCGGAGGCTGAGAAGCCCGAGGACTGGGATGACGAGGAGGATGGAGACTGGCTCGCTCCTACTGTCCCCAACCCTAAGTGTGCTGATGTCTCTGGCTGTGGCACTTGGACCCGCCCTTTGATCAAGAACCCTGAATACAAGGGCAAGTGGGAGGCCCCTCTCATCGATAACCCTGCCTACAAGGGTGTCTGGGCCCCCCGTAAGATTAAGAACCCCGCCTTCTTCGAGGACAAGACCCCATCCAACCTTGAGCCTATGGGCGCTATTGGCTTCGAGATCTGGACTATGCAGAATGACATTCTGTTCGACAACGTCTACATTGGTCACTCCGTTGAGGATGCTGAGAAGCTCCGCCAGGAGACCTTCGATGTCAAGTTCCCCATTGAGGAGGCCGAGGAGGAGGCTTCCAAGCCCAAGCCCGAGATCAAGGAGGAGGGTACCACCGTCACCTTCCAGGAGGATCCTGTCACCTTCGTCCGCCAGAAGGTCAACCACTTCGTTGAGCTGGCCAAGGAGGACCCCATCAACGCTGCCAAGACCCTCCCTGAGGTGGCCGGTGGCCTGGGCGCGCTCCTCTTGACCATGATCCTCATCGTTGTGGGTGCCATTAGCGCCAGCAGCCCTGCCGCCCCGGCCGAGAAGAAGGGCAAGCAGCCCGCCGGTGCTCCCAAGGAGAAGAAGGAACAGGCTGTCACCTCCTCCGCTGAGACTAGCAAGGGCGGTGCCACCAAGCGCACCACCCGCTCCTCCGCCGAGTAAATGCGATGATTGGAAAGAAACCAATTATACGCAGAAAAGAATTTTACCCATAAACCCAATCAGCGAAGAGATTTGCATTTAGTTACCATTGTGATTCCCTTCTTGATGTGTCTTGGCCGATGTAGTAGTGAGAAGGTTCATGAAGAACATTGAACGAAGGCCCGATTTGTATACTTCTCTCTATCTCTATTATTTCTACTCGGTATTCACTTTTTATTTTTATCGGAACCAATTGCCTTTGTGCCCTTTTAATAGTGTCATAACTGTGACTTTTTAGCCCCATACGATGTAAGAAACATAAGTAAAGCTTGAACAGGAAATACCTTCCTAATTGACTTGATCCCTTGCCTATAACGTCTAGTACGTTGTACGCGATAACCCGAAAAAGAATCTTAGCGATTAAACGCCAGCTAGTGTCGGCGATTCGAGTGCATTTCCAACTTGTCATTGGCTGAAAATGCCGAAAAGGTACCTTATCTGGGGGGTTCATTTGTACAACGTGGGGAACCTTGGAATGCCCCCTCTGACTAAGGCGGTTGACCTCGGGCCTGGGGTAACCTAGGTATATGATTAGGTCTCTTCATCCCCAAATCATCTTTACATTCATCTTTCTACTTAGTCTGTAACTCGCCCTGTCTCTGAATTTCCATTGCTATCTCTCTCCTCAATTCATCATGGCTGCTCGTCGGTCGATTGCCCGTTCCATCCCCGCTCTCCGCGCAGTTCCCCGCACGGTGTCGGTAACTGCCAGAGCTGCTTCTTCCGCCAGATCTCTCACTACTACTTCCCTTGCCAGTCTGGTCTCTCGCAGAGCAGCTGTACCCTCTTCGTCGCTCCCCGCCACTCGCCGCTTGCACGCAACAGCCCAGCGGCTCGTCCCCGCAACAACATCGGCCGTCTCCACCGCTACTGAATACCCAACCACCCACCAAAAGATCGCCAACCCAATTGACACTGCTAACTTCATTGATAATGAGTTTGTTTCATCCAAATCATCTAAATGGATTGACCTTCATGATCCTGCCACCAACAACCTGGTCACCCGTGTGCCCCAGAGCACAGATGCGGAGCTAAAGGCCGCTGTGGAGTCGGCCGAGAAGGCCTTCCCCGCTTGGAGAGCCACCAGCATCATGGCCAGGCAACAAATTATCTTCAAGTTTACTAGCCTCATTCGCACCCACTGGGACCGACTGGCCGCGTCCATTACCCTTGAGCAGGGTAAGACTTTCGCCGATGCCAAGGGTGATGTTCTCCGTGGCCTTCAGGTTGCCGAGACCGCCTGTGGTATCACCACCCAGATGACCGGCGAGGTTTTGGAGGTGGCCAAGGATATGGAGACAAGAAGCTACCGCGAACCGCTCGGTGTCGTGGCTGCTATCTGCCCCTTCAGTAAGTTGCTTATGTCAACACTTTCAATCCCTCTATATAGATGCTAATTGTCACCAAGACTTCCCTGCCATGATTCCCCTTTGGTGTATTCCGGTCGCTACCGTGACTGGTAACTGCTTGGTCATGAAGCCATCCGAGCGGGATCCCGGTGCTGCGATGATCCTGGCGGAGCTTGCCAAGGAGGCCGGTTTCCCACCCGGTGTGATTAACATCATCCACGGTGCCGCCCCCACTGTGGACTTCATCCTCGATGAGCCTGCTATCAAGGCTATCAGCTTTGTTGGCAGCAACCGTGCTGGCGAATACATCTACACCCGTGGCTCTGCTAATGGCAAGCGCGTGCAAGCCAATCTGGGTGCTAAGAACCATGCCGCCGTCCTGCCCGACGCCAACAAGAACCAGGCTCTGAACGCCATTACCGGTGCTGCATTTGGTGCTGCTGGCCAGCGCTGTATGGCATTGAGCACCTGTGTTATGGTTGGCGAGACCAAGGAGTGGTTGCCCGAAATCGCCGAGCGGGCCAAGGCCCTGATTGTGAACGGTGGCTTTGAGGAGGGTGCTGACCTCGGCCCTGTGATTAGCCCGGAGAGCAAGAAGCGTATTGAGGACTTGATTACTAGCGCTGAGGAAGAGGGTGCGACTATTCTTCTGGATGGCCGTGGCTTCAAGCCCGAGAACTACCCCAACGGTAACTTTGTAAGTCCCACTACAGAAAAGGATCTACACCTATGTAACTCGAACTAACTGTGTCTCCGCAGGTTGGCCCAACCATCATTACCAACGTCACCACCGATATGAAGTGCTACAAGGAGGAGATCTTCGGTCCCGTCCTCGTGTGCCTCAACGTTGAGACCCTTGACGACGCCATCGACATGATTAACGCCAACGAATACGGCAACGGTGCCGCCATCTTCACCCGCTCTGGCTCAACCGCCTCCAAGTTCCAGAAGGAGTGCGAGGCTGGCCAGCTCGGTATCAACGTGCCCATTCCTGTCCCTCTTCCCATGTTCTCTTTCACCGGTAACAAGAAGAGTATTGCCGGTGGTGGTGCCAGCACTTTCTACGGCAAGCCTGGCTTGCAGT